TGGGTATATAACAGTTTATCATAAGGAAGCATCATAATTTATTTAGATATTTTCCTATAATTAAAAATTTAAATAATTGCCACTTTTTAAATAAACATCTTTATGCGTAAATCTTTGCTCTCTATTTCTTTAGGATAGACTCACAGAATCTAGAATTTCTGGGTCAAAGGCTATGAAAATTTTAAAACTTAAGCATGTTACCGGCTATTACTAACATTCTTTAATCTGTCCAATATTTCTAAATGTTCTGTAATAAGCATGTATTCACCAAAAAAAAAATTAGCAAGTTAACATTATAAATGTCATAAAAATTAAAATCAAAAGCTTCACTAAAGTGTAAGTTCTTCAAACAAGTCATAGAGCTTTTATCATACTTGAAAACACATATAAAAATGGAAAGAAAAATACTTTATTTCAATCACCACCTGGCATGCTTTGAGAGTCACTGTCATAAAGTAATAAAATTCTGTCTCACCACAACAGGTTATTAATTCCTAACCTGCTTTTAAGAAACAGCAATATAAAAAGCAGCATGGGCACATTAGTCAAAATATTCCATTCAAAAAGAATCAGCTAAAGCAGCAATAGCTGTACCCTGCAGATAGGCACAATCAATTATGTTTCGATAAATAAATAAATAAAGCAGCAACAGCTTAAGTCTGTAGTTCTCTCCACCTCTTCTTTCTATGCACAATCAATTATGTTTCGATAAATAAATAAATAAATAAAGCAGCAACAGCTTAAGTCTGTAGTTCTCTCCACCTCTTCTTTCTATAACCCATGAATTGTAATAATAAACAATATGCTTGTAAGTTTTACTACATTAACATGCCCTTAAGTTCTCAAAAGTACAGAGACCTCCCACATACCCCCTTTTCGAGAAATGCGCATTTGTCCTGGTTACAGAGCTTAGAACCTTGCTGTTCCCAGTTCTCTCCAATAAGTTTTCTCTTAAATTTCTCTTTTAAGACTCCCTATCTTAGGATACACAGAATATACCTTATAGGTCCAATTAGCGTTACTCTGGACAGGAAACTAACTCAGCGTCTCCTGCCTTACAGTAAGAAAACTTTTCAAGCTCAACCTAAATTCTTCTTTAACACTTTGTAGTTCATTCATTTTACATACACAACAGTTGTGACATAACAACAATACTACTGACCTTCAACATCATGCCAGCTTGCTCATAAGCTCTGAAAAGAAAATTTAATTTCTCTGATGAGATCTTAATGAAATAAGGAGGAGGAGAAACTTTCTGGTGAGGACACTACTGGTGAGGGAAGTGACTTCAATTAAAACTGGCTCAGGTACAACATATTACTGTAGGTATGCAGGTATTACAACAAAACATCATTTTTTCTTATTTTCATGGGCAATAGTGCCTTTGAAACATCAGACATTTGAATTGAAGGGATTTTCTTTTGCAAAATTAAGATACAAAATTAAGCAAAGCTCAGAAAGGTTAAATGACTTTCCATTTGAAAAACCTAAATCTAAGTTTTAAAACAAATAAATACTCTCCACAAAAGCAGGAGAAAGTTTCCTGCTTCTCTTCCACAGGAAAAGAGGGAGAAAAGGAGGCTCTAAATTACTTGTGTTTTCATAAGCTACTGAACAAAATGGTCCCGAAAATGCTCAATTTAATTTAAACACTGTATTATCTTACAGTTAGGAGTGACTTCTTAAGATTCAGGTGAAGCAAATGGAAATGACTATTTTATTTAAATCAGTATGAAATAATTCAGTATTTACAAATTTATAACTTGGGAAAAATTTACTGAACTACAGAAAACAGCAACATTTAAAACATAAGCTGCAAATACATTAAAAACATGGAGAATATTTACTTACTTGGCAGCATGAAAAAGACTGAATGGATGTAACAAAGTCAAAATTAAGGAAAAAGGAGGAAATCAATAGTTTCTAGAGATCTACTATTTAAAAGACAGTTAACTAAATCACTAGGTTCCAGAAGTCAAATACTACAAACAGGTAAGAAAGAAGTAATTTAATGCTTGTGGATGTTTCTTGAAACTACAAAACTCACAAAAACATGACAAAACACTGTTTAAAATAGATTTTAAACTATTTAAACTTTTCTCGTTTATGCATTAATCTGAAGAGTTTTACTAAAATACAAAGTTATTATAACTATAATTTGCAAGTAAGGTAAAATAAACATGTTTTTAATCACTAAGTTTTAAAATACCTCAGGTAAATTTATTGTTTTAAACTACTTATAAATCTTATTTCAAATACCTAAGGAAGACTGTACTTTAGAAAAATTTATACAGCAGGATGTGCATTTTCAAATACCTGTGATACTTCACTCTTCAGCACATGTCTACTGATTTCCCTCACTTCATCTCAAGTAAAAACATCATCAAACAAAACTAGGAAAAACAGAAGATAAACTCTGAAATGTAGTTCCGCAAACCAGTGTGGACCTTATGATCAAACCTCACTGTAAGTGCTCCTTCAGAGGTGAAAAAAGCACAAGTTTTCTAACTTATAAGCATTTTGCATTTTATCTCTCATGCAGCAAATTTATTTTAAGAGAAAATAACAAAATTCTGTCAAAACCATCTAATTGTTTAATTCCTTTTTAAAAATCTGAAAAAGATACGCCCTATTATTTTCATGGGCAACAGCTTCCCTCAGGCAGGCATCTTTT